AATGCCTCTACTTAGCATTGTTAGACATTTAAAAATAGTCCATACATTTGATTAGTCTATATCCACTCCCTGCCTCTCTTAATAAGTTCTAAAGAAGGAGACGGTAGCATTTGTCGCGACTAGTATTGAAGAGTTTAAAGAAAACCAGGTACCTGGCTGGGGAATATTCCCTTTTTTCCTCTTCCTGCATAATTTTGCATGAAATCAACAGGGCCCCATGCAAGAAGTGAAGCAGAGTTATGCAGACAAGGACCTACGCGTCTCTGAGAATCCATCCCAATTTCCCGTCTGCATAAAATTTCCTCTAAAATGAAGCTAAAAATAAATTCCTAATGCAAAGAAATGGTTGGAGTTGGCGTAGGACCTTTAAGCCACATTTTGATTACCCCTCAGTGCTATATGAAGTGTATCTTGCTTCTAACTCACAGGGGGATTTGTCAAAAAGTGTCCAGCGGACACTCTGCACTATCTATTGAAAGCACACACTGACCAGAGCATTGTATAGAGCAGGGCATTGTCCCTTAAATAGGCCAGAATGAAAGACTGGTTAATTGCTGCACATCACTGACCAGTATAGAACATGGCCGCAGAACGGTCAGTCCCTGGAACCTGCTCACATTGGCTCTGGCTGATGACAAGCAAGATTTGAATCTTAAATTTAATGAAATAATGTATTACTTCTGGAAATTCTAGGATACCTCTCTTGAAAGCACAAATTTGGAGAGTAGAGACATGCATAATTGACCAGAAGAAAATACAGCATACTAAGTATATGTGGAATGATTGAAATACAAAGTGATAGCACCATACTATAATCTCATTTAACTTAGATTCATTGCAATGTCAGAGAGTGGGACAAAAAAAGAGGTCAAATTGACAACTTTTCCAGTGTTCTTTTTGACAATGTCTACTCTAGAAGGTACTGATCCAAAAAAATAGACTGTCAAAAAGAAAAGAGAGGGGCCGGCCCGGTGGCGCAAGCGGTTAAGTGCGCGCGCTCCGCTGCGGCGGCCCGGGGTTCGCTGGTTCGGATCCTGGGCGCGCACCGACGCACTGCTTGG